GGGAGGGTCGGGACGGTTGTAGCGATGGTTTGCTAAGACCAGTTGCAACATACGGTTGTTGTAAGCGGTTACAACAATCGGTTGCTGTGACCGGTTACAACAACCATTTGCATCCACCGTTTGCAGTAACCGATTGTAGCAAGAGGTTGCTGTAACCAGTTGCAGCAAACATATTGACCCTATCCCGCCCATCCCGACCCTCGTTACAGCAACCGTTTGCAGGGTCAATAGGTTTGCTGTAACCGGTTACAGCAACCGATTGCTACAATCAGTTCCTGCAATCGGTTGCTACAAACGGTTGTTGTGACCGGTTACAACAACCGTTTGCAGCAACCGCTTACAGCAACCGTCTGTTAAGACCAGTTGCAACAGACGATTGTTGTAAACGGTTACAGCAACCGGTTGCTGTAACCGTTTACAACAACCACCTGCTAAGACCAGTTGACGGTAAGACCAGTTACCGGTTGTTGTAAGCGGTTGTTGTAACCGTTTACAGCAACCGTTTACAGACACCGTTTGCAGTAACCGGTTGTCGCAAGAGGTTGCTGTAACCAGTTGCAGCAAATGTATTGACCCTCTCCCGCCCATCCCGACCCTCGTTACAGCAACCGTTTGCAGGGTCAATAGTTTTGCTGTAACCGGTTACTGCAATCAATTGCTACAAACGGTTCTTGTGATTGGTTACAACAACCGTTTGCAGCAACCGCTTACAGCAACTGTCTGTTAAAACCAGTTGCAACAGATGGTTGTTGTAAACGGATACAGCAACCGGTTGCTGTAACCGGTTGTTGTAACCGTTTACAGCAACCGTCTGCTAAGACCAGTTGCAACAACCGTCTGCTAAGACTAGTTGCAATAGACGGTTGTCGTAAGCGGTTACAGCAACTGGTTGATGTGACCAGTCACAACAACTGTTTGCAGCAAACGTTTGCTGTAACCGGTTGTAGAAAGAGGTTGCTGTAACCAGTTGCAACAAACGTATTGACCCTGTCCCGCCCATCCCGACCCTCGTTACAACAACCGTTTGCAGGGTCAATAGGTTTGCTGTAACTGATTACAACAACCGGTTGCTACAGCCGGTCACTGCAATCGGTTGCTGCAAACGGTTGTTGTGACCGGTTATAACATCGGTTACAACAACCGTTTGCAGCAACCGCTTACAACAATCGTCTGTTAAGACCAGTTGCAACAGACGGTTGCTGTAGACGGTTGCTGTAACCGTTTACAACAACCGCCTGCTAAGACCAGTTGCAACATACGGTAGTTGTAAGCGGTTATAGCAACCGGTTGCTGTAATCGCAAACGGTTGCTGTAACCGCTTACAGCAACTGTCTGCTAAGACCAGTTGCAACAGACGGTTGCTGTAAGCAGTTCCAACAATTGGTTGCTATGACCAGTTACAACAATTGTTTGCAGCAACCGTTTGCTCGTCCTTGCAGCAACCGGTTGATGTAACCGCTTATAGCAACCGTCTGCTAAGACCAGTTGCAACAGACAACTGTTGTAAGCGATTACAGCAACCTGAGCAACCGGTTGCTGTAACCACTTACAACAACTGTCTGCTAAGACCAGTTGCAACAGACGGTTGCTATAAGCGGTTACAACAACCGGTTGTTGCACTTACAGCAACCGGTTGCAGCAACAGTTTGCTCGTCCTTGCAACCAGCTGCTGTAACCGCTTACAACAACCGTCTGCTAAGACCAGATGCAACAGACGGTTGTTGTAAGCGGTTACAGCAACAGACGGTTGTTGTAAGCGGTTACAGCAACAGTTACAGCAACCGACTGTTGCAACAGCAACCGTCTGCTAAGACCAGTTACAACGTCTGTTGCAACGGCAACCGTCTGCGAAGACCCGTTGCAACAGACGGTTGCTGTAAGCGGTTACAGCAACCGGTTGCTGTGACCAGTTATAACAACCATTTGCAACAACCATTTGCTCGTCCTTGTAGCAACGGTACATGGGCTGCGACCTGCCTGTGGGACTGCAACCGTAGATTCAGTGTTTCTAACTGTTGTTTTTCCCGTCGTGTCCGTCCTTGCAGCAACCGGTCACTCGTCAGCTTCAACGTCTTCGAGAGTCCCACATCCACGTGCGTCATGGCCAGTTCAAGCAAGGTCAGCTCAAGCAAGGCCACCACCGCGACCAAAGGCAAGTCCCACTCCAAGCACCCTGTGTTCGTGGCCCAGCTGGAGGAAAGACAGAAAAGTTTGCATAACGAGAAGACTTTGTACAAGTGGATCGAGCAAGGGCAGGAGGCGGACCCAAAAGGGTATGAGGAGTACTGGGTGAGGTGTAGCCTGTGCAACCAGTTTTTCACAACATCGAAGTCACGTGTGGTGCAACATTTCTTAAAGAAGAGAGCAGCATATCCTTACCGCACTGGGGAGATTCTCCATCTGTTGGTGTTGGATGGAGCTAACGTTAAAGAAGAGGGTGCAACAGCTCAGACAATGCTGCATAAGTACAAAATGGATAATGGCATCGGTGAGGACTGCGGCTTGGAAGCGGACCCTGTGCGTCAGGCAGCAACGAAGCTGGAGCAGCATATTGTCCCACCTCCTGCACCGGGGAGGGAGTTTGTTGTCAACATTGACACCACCCAAGAGGCTGAGCCTTCCGATCCAGATGTGGTGGTGGGAGATGAGACGGCCCCTGGTCCGTCAGGTCAGGCATCCACAAAGATATCGAAATCGGGGAAGACAACACAAACTTCCATCAGGAAGTGGACAGAGAACACCGCCCAAAAGAGACTTGATCTTGCATGGGCGGAGACATTGTACAGGGCGGGCGTGCCATTCAACTTCATCCGGTTGAACAAGACGAAGGAGCTTCATGACGTGTACATGGAGTTGGCGGCCCGCAATGCACGAATGGACTTGCCTGCCTTTGAAACCATCCGGACAGTGGCTTTGAATATTGTGTATGACAATGTTCGGGCAGAGGTGCGGCCGCTTATGGACAAGTGGGACATCAGTGGTTGCACTCTCATCACTGATGGGACCCAAGACAGGAAGTCGAGGGCTGTGTTGAACTTTGTAGCGGCTGGAGAGAGCGGGGTTGTGTTCATCAAGGTTGTGGATGTCTCTGATAGGAAGAAAAACGTGAGAGCGTTGGCAAAGTTATGGAAAGAGGTGATAAGGGAGATCGGTGTTCACAGGGTCAATGCAATCTGCACTGACAATGCATCAGCGAACAAGCGAGCGGCGAAACTCCTATCAATGAGGACTTACAAAGCCATTGCGAAGATTCCTTGGATCCCGTGTGCTGCCCACACCCTGAACTTGCTACTGAAAGACATATCCAACATCGCATGGATCAAGACGGTGTGGAAGAAGGGAAGGAATTTGGTGAAGTTCATCAAGAATCACCAAAGCACGATGGGGTTGATGAGTCGGTGTTCCATGGGAGACAGGAAGGTGCTTGTCATGCCAACGGAGGTCAGATTCGCGTCTGTTTACCTGATGTTGATCCGTATATGGGACAGGAGACATGTGTTGAAGCACATGATGGATAACGGCTGGTTGGACATCTACTGGAGCAGCCAGAAAGACAGGGAGGATGCAGAGGATATCTTCGCTCATGTGAGATGTGACATGTGGTGGCAGAAAGTGGACACCATTCTCTCCATCATAAAACCTATATACGACCTGCTGCGAATGATGGATAGTGATGGGTTGGCACATTCACAGCTGTGGGGCTTCGACGACCTCCTCAGCAAGCGGATGCGGACAATGTCAGGTGTGACCAGCGAGCAGCACCACGAGATAATGAAGCTGATCGTCGATCATTGCAAGATGATGCGTCAGCCAACCCATGCAGCAAACTTCTTGTTGTCACCTGCGCGGAGGGACCCCAGATGGTTGCTGAACAAGGACTCCCCACTCGTCCACAACGCATTGAATTGACATAGTTGGGCGGGAACTCTTGGGGCAATTTTGACTCTCACGAGGAAGTGTGGAACAGCCTGTGGACATTTCATTGCCAACCCATCGAAGGAGAAGATAAAGGATGAGGACTCGTGGAATCGGTTGGCTGTTGCCGACGCATCTTTCAAGAGGAAGACAACATCTCAATGGTGGCGCTTGTACGGGTCAAAGCACATCGAATTGCAGAAAATCGCAATGCGGGTGACGACAATGTGGAGCACGGCAACGCCATGCGAAAATAATTGGTCGTCCTTGGACTTGGTCCACTCCAAACGGCAGAACAACTTGTCCAGTGAAAGTGTAGCCAAGTTGGTCTACATTCACTGGAACATGCANAATTGGTCGTCCTTGGACTTGGTCCACTCCAAACGGCAGAACAACTTGTCCAGTGAAAGTGTAGCCAAGTTGGTCTACATTCACTGGAACATGCAGTTGTTGCGGGTTCCTAGGAGCACGACTGATGGGTTCATTGACCTGTGGGCAACCTTCTTCGACGAGCCTGAGGCACCTCCGGTGGCGAATGATGCAACAAAGGATCGCCGTAAAGTGGACAAGGAGGAGGCGGTGGCGAGGGCTGCACGCCTGAAGAAAATTCCGAAAGGAAGGCTTCCCGCTGGCTTGTTGAGCGATGATTCTGGGAGCAGTGACAACGAGGACTTGGTGTGGTGTGACAAGGTGGACAACAGGGTGCATCGAGCACGAGGTGGAAAGGGGAAGGGAAGGCCGTTGTGGTTGAAGACGAGGAGGACGAGTGGGATGATGATGATGATGATGACACCGACTCGGATTTTGAAATTCGTCCACACACCGGCTGCACGGACTCTGACACGGACGGAGGACCGGCCGACTTGTGGGACGTGCCTGAAGCGACGTGTCACTTGGACAATGACGATGACCTCATCGTTGAGGACAGTGAGGCACGTGATCGCAGGGTCAGGGCGGAAGCACAATCTCTGGCGGACAGGGATCATGTAATGGTGCAACAGCGTATGGCAGAGAAAAACTCACGTCGACTAGCAGTCCCCGCACACCTGCGAACCGTGGAGGGGCATGTGCAGCAACAGGCCGAGTAATGACCACAGGAGCCGATGCAGCAGCTGGTGGAGCAGAATTCGCAGCGGGTGGCGCGGTAGCAGCAGGAGCAGCGCCTGCAGCAGAAGTAGCAGAAGCAGTATAAGGTGGAGCCAGGGCGACAGCAAGTGGAGAAGCAGTTGGAGCAGGACATGGAGCGGGAGCAGCAGAATGTGAAGCAGCAACAACAACAGCACAACGAAGAGCAACACCAACAACTGAGCCAACACTCGGGCCAGGAGCAGCACACAGGTCAACAGCAGCAGCAAACGGATCAACAGCAGCACCAACAGCAGCCAAGGGATCAACAGCAACAGGACGTGGAGCAGCAGCAGCACGATGATGAGCAGCAGCAACAGGACGTGGAGCAGCAACAACAGCAAGCGGAGCACCAGCAGCAGCAGCAGCACGATGTTGAGCAGCAGCAGCAACAGCAGCCAAGAACAACAGCAGCAACCGCAGCAGTGACCACTACGACAGACACTGCACCAGAAGCTGTTGCTGGCTTCAACTTTTACTTGCCCCCCACCGATGCCTCGCTTGGACGAGGCCATGGTCCATGACACTGTGGACATCAGCAGGGCTGGGAGGGAGAGAAAGGTTCCCGTGGAACCTGTCGTTGCGAAGCGCGGACGAGGGCGCCGAAGGAAGGGAGAGGGGAAGTCTGCTGCGGCAGTACCTGTTCTGGCCCCCATGGCGACAGCAGCCGGTAGACCGAAACGCAAACAACGGAAGCAGGTGCTGGTCGAGGATGACCCCACCGGGGCAGAGGACAGCAGCGACGGGCAATGGAAGTCGGATTGCGACTGGCCGTGACTCTCATGCACATGTCTCATCAGCATCTTCTTCTTCTTCTTCTTCTTCTTCTTCTTCTTCTTTCGTACTCTTCTTCTTCTTATTATTTCGTACAGACTCTACGGTGACTACACTGCGGTAGTTGTTTCTTAAAGGTCACAAATGATGGATCCGCACGCATATAGAGATTGTTGAGAGAGAGAGAGAGAGAGAGAGAGAGAGAGAGAGAGAGAGAGTTTCTGTGTTTCAGAACTTATGGAAAAAAAAAACAGAGTGTCTGTGACTCTGTCACTCTACTTTCTGCGCTGATCTGTGCTGATCTGTGGTGTGTGAGATTAATGTGTGTTTTTGTTCTGTGTGTCAGTGGTGTGTGCATGAAGCTGTTGGTTGGAACCGGTTGAAGCTGGTGTGTGTCAGTGGTGTGTTCCTGCTGTGTGTGTCAGTGGTGTGTTTCTGTTGTGTGTGTCAGTGGTGTGTGCATGAAGATGTTGATTGCCCTGACTGTTTCATGCAACCGGTTGCTAGAACCGGTTGCCTTGACTGTTTCGTACGACCCATTGTTGGAACCGGTTGCCTTGACTATGTCATGCTATAGGTTGCTGCAACCGGTTGCCTTTATTGTTTCATGCAATGGGTTGCTGGAACCGGTTGCCTTGACTGTTTCGTGCGACCCGATGTTGGAACTGGTTGCCTTGACTGTGTCATGCTACCGGCTGCTGCGACCAGTTGCCTTTACTGTTTCATGCAATGGGTTGCTGGAACCGGTTGCCTTGACTGTTTGATGCAACCGGTTGGTGCAACCGGTTCATGCAAGCGGATGCGGCAACCGGTTACTGCAACCGATTTCAGCAAACAGGTGCTGCAACCAGTTGCATGAACCGGTTGCTTTAACCGGTTATTGCAATTGGTTCCAGCAATCATTTGCTGCAACCAGTTCGAGCAACCACTTGCAGCAAGCACTTGCTGCAACCGGTCGGAGTAACCGGTCCCAGCAACCCTGCCCTCCTTCCCCCCCTCCAGGCCCAAAACACAACTATTCCAAAAATTTAAAAGACCACGAATTTGGAGAGGTCTCAGGGAGAACAAATCAGCCCCGCGGGAAAAAAAAAACAAAAAACATTTTGACCGGTTTTTGGACTTGCCCGGGTCATCCGGGCAACTAGGTCCGACCCGCCCGGGCCCGGCTGCACGGACGGGCACCCGGGCCCATGCGGGTCTGGTAGCCTAGATTCAAACCCCCTAAGTAATTGAAGTACCCCCAAATTGGATGTTGGACCGCTCAATTGATGTGGTAGACCCCCAAACGAATTTATAAACTTTCAAACTTATGTTCGAGACCTTTTATTAATTAACGTAACTTCAAATTGTTAGGTTGGACCCCTAAATTGATGCGTCAGACACTCAAAGTAAGTTCTAAAACCCCAAACCGACGTTCAAACTCCCTATATAATTTTAGTATACCCAAACTGATAAGTTGAAACCTAAATTGATTCGTCTACGTCCAAAGCAAATTCTAACCCCCAAAATTGAACATCCGACCTCATTTATAATTCAACTACCCTAAAGTTGGTAAGTTGGACCCCTTAATAGATACGCCAACCCCCAGAGTAATTTCAAAACCCTCAAACTAACGTTCGAGACCTCTTGTAAATTTACGTTTATTAAAACTCACTTGATGCGTCAAACCCCCAAAGTAGTTTCTAAGCCCCGAAACTAACTTTTGGGGCGCCCTTTCAATTTACGTAACGTCAAATTGACCGATTGGACCCGTTGATTCATGCATCGGACCCAAAAAGTAATTTGTAAACCTCAAAATTGACGTTCAAACCCCCATAATAGTTTATTTTTTCCAAATTGGTAGGTTGAACTCCTAAATTTATGTGTAAGACGCCTCAATTTATGCATCAGACATCAAAAGTAATTTTTAAACCCACAGACTTACGTTCGAGATCCCCAATTGAGACTCGTAACTTCATAATGAGAGGTTGGACCCCTCAATTGATACACTGGACCTCCTAAGTGATTTCTAAACATCCAAACTGACGTTCGAGACCCCCTACAAAAAATGTTTACCCGCAAAGTGATAGGTTGAACTGCTAAATTGATGTGTCATATGAAAGTCATATCTAAATAATCCAACTGGCATTGGGACCCCTTATTAAATGACCACTACCCGCGCCATTTTAAATTAGGGAGAATTGGTAGCACAAGTCCATGAGGGTTACCGGTAACACATTTGGAAAAACTGGCTCAGTGAGAAAATTGAAAAATGCATCGAATTGCCCCTGCGATTTATTTTGCAGTTGAAATTTTTAATAAATATTTTTCCTCCAAAGATCACGACCAAATCTGCATACTCTTAAATTTTCGGATTTTTTGGAGAATTGTAATAAACAAGAAAATTCACTGAAGTTACGATATTTTTCCCATTGGTCGATACGTGATAGAGCAACAAAAAGTAGCAAAAATGGAATGTAGGACGAATTAATGCGATATTTATTTTACGATCTTAAATATATTTTTTTAATTTATAAATATTGTTTGTAGAAAAATTATGAATTTACAACCAAATTTACAAGACCTTCAATTTTCAGAGTTATTGAGTCATCCTTGTAAACGCAAACAATCGCGGTGGTTGATAAGTTTTTCGTGTTGGCCAACACGTGTCAAAATGAAAAAAATAAACAATGCAACGAAACGGTGCGATATTGTTTTTACAATTTAAATATCTGTTCTTAAGATTTTTAATATTTTTTTTATAAATATCACAACCTAATTGACATAATGTTAAGTTTTCATGTTTTTTCTTCAATTCTTATGAGCACGAAAAATCATCAAAGTTGACGCTTGGAAATCCGTGGAATAGGCCCGTCGCACCTGTGGGTCGCCGGCAACCCAAAGAACTTGGTCCGTGAGGCCCGGAAAATTGAATTTATGCCAGCGGAAATATTGATGGTTTAATATACGTAACTTCATACTGATAGGTTGGATCCCCAAATTGATATGCCAGAGCGTGAAACTAATTTATAAACCCCAAAACTGACGTTCAAAACCGCTATTAGTTGACGTAACTTCAAAGTTATAGGTTGGACTATCAAATTTGTATGTCAAACCTTGAAAGTTATTTTTAAATCTTAAGAAACGTTCGGAACCCCCAATTAATTTAGAAAATTTCAAATTGATAGGTTGGACCATTAAATTTATGCGTTAGATCCCCAAAGTAATTTATAAGCTCCCAAGCTGATGTGAAAAACCCTTAAACCTTTATTACCTCCGATTCTGTTTTTGCCAACTCTGATTTTTAATGTGTGTTAAGTTTTATCGAGCCTAAGTCTCGTTTCGTTATTTTCGCGGTACTCTTGTGGAAAAAAAAACATGAGCATAACACTCAAAAATAAAAGAGGCCCGAACGAAATCAATGAAGTGAAAAAAACGAAAATAAAGAAGTAACCATCTGAACACTATTGCAGGTAGATTCATCAACACCAGTAGTGGTTTATGTGTGCAATCCGTCAGTGTCCGTGACATGCACCATCCTTCACTAGCAGGGCACTAAAACATTGATATTACAACAAAAAAAAAGTAAATTTGAACCCAGCATAAGTTGTGGTTAAATACGTTATTGCTCGTACGCCTGTGAACAGAATTTCAACACATTCTTCGCCGACGTTCTAGCTTTTATGATTTTTTTCTTTTTTTTGTCAAGGTCCATGGAATGTGCACTGCCTTACTCGCAGGACACTGAAACTGAGTAATGAGAATAAAAATAAAAACAAAAACACGAAAGTTGAGACTAGACGAAATTGTGGTTGGATATGTTACTCTAAGTACTGATGTGAGCATGATGCAATCACGGGTTTCCCCGACGTCCTCTCTTTCAATACAATTGCTTCGTTTTTTTTTTGTTTTTTTTTTTGAAAACGGGTGCACAATACTCAAACAATTGTTTTTTGTCGAACCTCTTTTGGACTTTCGAAAACAACGGTGTGATGTATATTCTCGTTTTTTCCAACATTGAGAAAGGTAGTTACATTAAATAATTTTAGTACCTTAAAATTAACAGGTTGGACTCATTATTGAGTTGTTTGACCCCCAAAGTCCATTCTAAAACCCTGTAGTTACTTTCAAACCCCAAAATAATTTTTGTATCCTCCTAATTGATAAGTTGGAC